TGCTGTTACTACATCAACGAATCAGGCCTTGTGGAAACTAATGTAGTCAAGCTCACCAACTTGGCTTTGAAAAATCCACCAGACCAAAACCCATTTGCCACCTTCTTTTTAGCCCACTTCCAATTGTGGCTGTTGCTTCTTTTAGGGCCCATATGTCTTCTTTTCCTGATGTGTCTGTTCCTGCCCTGTCTGCTTCGCTTCCTACAGGGCCAATTACGGAAGATCTCTAACCAAATTTTCAACCAGCCTCTGCTTAGGTACTACCAGCCTCTGATGACTGATGAGCCCCCAACATCTTCAAGAGAACAGCTCACTCATTGCTGAAGCTCACTACCAGGCACGATGGAATGCAACGGACATCGGACAGTGGGAGACAACGAGCCCGGAGAACCTCTTAATCTGCCATCCTGGATTCTTGACCCTTTTTGTCCTTTTAAGCCTCCTCATGGCCCTTGGCCTCTTCTCTGTCAGTCCCCCGACATGGAACTTCTGCCAAAAACTGACATTTGCTTTAATTTTTATCTTCATCCTGCTTTTGTTTGCTCTGATCTTCTTCAGGTGCTGGTGACGCCATGTCAAGGCAACGCTTCCAATATTTCCTAGAGTCTCTGTTACAGGACCAGTGGCTGATACCAACTATTTCCTCCATCCAGGACTGGTTCGACGCCATCGACGACTTGTGGTTTCAGGGAACTTTCATAGACTTCACCCCTACGGAAGTAGCTGTCTATAGCCACTGGGTTTTATTTCTGATTGCCATGATATCCCCAGACCTGCCCCCCGCCCCAAACATTCCTCCAATTCCCCTTCTAGGCCCTACGCCGCCCCTGCACAGCCAGAAGCAGCCAGATCTGACCAACAATGCCCCAATTTCTAAGAAAACAAAAAGGGAGGAATGTTGGGAAAACATAACGGCAGCAGCACCCCAGAGAAAAACCCCAGCATGGCGTCTAACGACCCTCTTTCTCCTCTTTGTTTCTTTCACTGGCGCGAAACGTTCCCGCTGGCGCCAACGTTCAAACCCTGCTGGTGGGAAGCCTTAGCCCCAATTAGAATTAACTTCTTGGGCTCCGGAACTGACATATGGTAAAGCTTGCCAATAAACGGGCGACCTGTTATCTACCTCAGCCCTGTAACCTCTCCTTAGACCTATATAAACACACAGCCTTTGGTAATAAAGCGGAAACCTCTTTGGTGATCTGTGTTGTGTGGTGCGGCGTCTTCCAGTCTTACAGAAAGTTTTATTGGTTCACACTTTTAGAGGTTTCAGACCATGATCTGCTTGCTCCACCACGTTGGGCCTGGCAGAGCAAAGCTGCTCACCTGATGTCAGCAGGGAAGCAGGGCCAGTGTGTGGGAGGGTGGTCCAGGGACAATATAACCTTCAAAGGCCTGCCCCCAGCAACTTACTTCCTCCAACTGGGTCCCACCTCCTGATAGCCCACTCTGCTGTTGAGAAACTGATGTGACTCCATTTTTTAAAAAAGCTTCTACCTCAACTCCTGACAAAGGAAAGGAGCGTGACCCTTGTCCTTAGAAAACCCCACAGATCTATGGCACCTGGTGTCCCTGACTCAGGCTAGGTGAGGACCCATAGCAATCCCCTAGCAACCACCAATCAGCATGAGACAGGGAAAATACCTGGGATGCCAGATGACCCCCCAGTAGTTTATGGTGGTTGATAACATGCTGGGGCATGTATACCCCTTATGGCTTAAACCAATCTGTTCAAACAAATCCCCCTCTTGTATTAACCAATCACCCCTACCCAACTTGTTCCCGCCAGTGAATGTGCTAATCAATGTTAAGAGTTGTTGTTTGACTTTCCCGCGGTGTGAAATGATTTGCTGTGTGATATCGTGACGCATAGAGTATCCCCCAAAACCTATAAAATCTCACTGAACAAAGGACCGGGACTCACTCCCTGGGACCACTGCATCAGAACCGTTGTGAGTCCAGGCTCGAGCTTGCAATAAAGACTCTTGTGTGATTGCATTGGATTCGGCTCCTGGAGGTCTATTGGGGTCCCACGAATCTGGCATTACACTATGAGCTCATCAATGGATTAGTCCACTGATGAGGTTGTCACCCCAAAGCCCCACTCTGCTGCACTGGGGACCAAGCCTTCAATGCATTAACCTTCAGGGAACATTCCAGATCTAAACCATAATAATGCTCTAATTTGGATCTTAAATGCCCACTAAAGGCCCATGTGTTGGAGGTTTTTTCCTCAGCCAGTGGTGCTATCAGGAGACGGTAGAGGCTTTAGAAGGTAGGACCTACTTGGAGGTCTCAGGTCACTGGGAATGTATCATGTCCCTTTTAGGACAGTCTCTTCCACTGTCTTAGCTTCCTAGCCACCACAAGGTGAGCAGCTTGCTGCACCACAGGCTCCCTGACATGATATGCGGCTCTGCCACAGACCCCAAAGCAATAGGGTCAAACAATTGACCCTGACTGAAACCTGTAAAACTGTCACTCAATATATACCTTCTCTTTTTTATGTTGATTTCTCAGATTCCACCCCCCCCACACACACACACTTTTTTTTTTCCCCAGTACTGCGGATTGAAAACAGGGGCACTTAACCATGTATCCCCAGCCATTTTAAAAAAGTATTTTTATCTAGAATAGGGTCTTGCTGAGTTGCTCAGTGCCTCGCTAAGTTGCTGAGGGTGGCTTTGAACTTGCCATCCTCCTGCTCAGCCTCCTGAGCTGCTGGGAGTACATGCATGCACCACCACACCCTGTGATTATCTCAGATTTTTAATTCCAGTAACAGCAAACTAACATATTAGGCTTGTTTTTCTGTGTAAAATTGTTGTTTTTTGGAGGACACCAAACACTCTTTACCATCTTTGCATCCATAGACTTAAATAGAATACCTATCATACATATCTGATGAATTGATTCATTTTGTTATACTATCCAAGATTAATAGTACCACCTTCAACAACAAAGTAATGTTGTAGTTGCCCTTCAGACTAAAGCCTCCTAAATCAAATGAGATCATTACATTAAACTTGATAGAGCTCATCCATATGATGCTTTAAAAACCAACCAATTTCTATTTTAGGGCAGAGTATGTGGCCCATTTAGATGAAATATTTATCTTGCCTTAATTTAAGCATATAGCTATGCAATATTTACTAATGTGTCCATTCTCTAACCTTGGACAAATTACATTATGTCATCTTGTAACCTTGGTTTCCAAATCAATAAAATGAGGAAAATTATAACATCAGAGGGTCGTTGTGAAGACATACAATAACACATGCTGATTATTAAGATAATGCTCTAAAAGAGGCATTTGATAAATGGTGGCCATTTTTAACTTTCAGAGAAATAGTAAAATAAACTTGTAACACAATTAAAGCAAATTACTACACAAGTGTCTATGATTACCATCTTTGTGGGAAGCAATTTTTCTAAGATAATATATTTGCAATGAATCATTATATCAGTAAACAAGAAGAGTTAGGAAAGAAAGCAAGTACCCCTGTGGGTCCATCTCACAATGTCACAGCTAACATTTTACAAGGAAGGTATCAGAGTACACCTTATATATCCTTTAAGAAAAATTAAACTATAATCAAACCTGTTTGTAAAGAACAGATTCCACTTACCATTTGCTCTTTTACTCATTATTCTCCATAACTGAGATACTGGCAAACTTTGATGTTTTATTAGAAATAATTAAAGTATCAACGTCTGAATTAAACAATTGTCTGAATTAGACAACTGAATTGCCGTTATGAAGAAAATGTTCTTGTTCTTAGGAAACACCTGCTGAAGTACTGAGGGATAAAGAGGCATGATGTCTACAACTAACTCTCAAATAACTGGTGGGGGGGGAGGGTATACATTTAGTGGAACAGAGAATAAACAACTGATGTAAAATATTAAGAAGCCGCAGAAATTTCTCTGGCCCTGTCTTCATGTTAGAAGAGGGCTGTTTTATTCACACTGTGAGTGATGATACCCATCTACAGGTTAAGGTCAGCATTAGAAAAATGTTAGTCTGGATACTGGGTTTACATCAGTTCTTTGTATTTATTCTTCAGTAACTTTTAGACTGTTTCAAGATCAAGACGAAAACACTTCCTAACTCAGTCGGCTGAGTGCAAGAGGCCCACGTGCTTCTCTCCAAACCACAGAGCTGGGTGCTTTCAAGAGCTGGTTTATATTTGTACCCTAAAATAGCTATGCCTAGTAGAGTCTAATTAAATGTTTAAACTAATGAAATATATATAATCATTGTTTCATGAAAACTCAATCCATAAAAAGTGAAAACAGGAAATGGGTGGAATGAAGCGGACATTATTACCCTACATACACGTGTGCTCACACTGCCCGTGTGACTGCACCAGGTTCAGCCAGAGCAAGGCGAAGCTGGGCTCCGTTTGTGTACAGTGTGTCAAAAAGCATTCTGTTGTCATGTGTAATAACTAATTAAAACGACCTTTGTAAAAATCTCAAAAAGTGAACAAGAAATTACTATAGAGCTAGACATGGGAAAGACAAATCTATACAAGTCTGGGAAAATTCGTTCAAAATCCCGACCAGCTTGGCACTCCATTTCCTGAGCTGTGTGTGAGTTTTTATTCTACTCTGAGGAAATGAAACGGGAAGTCCCAAGCCTTGAGGATCATAATAAAGGGAGGGAACGAATCCTCTGCCAACTGCAAGCCCGGAGCAAAGACGTCTCGGAGCTGCCTCCTAAGCCTTCCGCTGGGCCTGGCTGCCGGGCTGCGGAGCGCCACTTCTCGTCTCCCACGCCGCCCCGAGCAACCCGCGCACGGCCGACCCCGCGACCCCGGCGACGTCTCCCCAGCACGCAACTCCGAGGCTGCGGACGACGATGCGCGAGGTGGGGGTGGGGGGTGCGCCCGGGCGCAGAAGAGGCGGGATCGACTCGCTCGGCGGTCTCCGCCCCGGTCCCGCCCCCCGCCCGCGCCACCGCCGAGCGCCGATCGGCTCGATGAGCGGGGGTGCTGCGGCCGAGGCGGTCGGCGCCGCGGCCTCCCCTCCCGCCTGGCTCTTCTCTCCGCTCTGCTTCTCTCTCCCCGCCCGGCGCCGCGGAGCTCTCCGGCTCGCAGGTACCGGCGCCGGCCTGCCCGGTGGGGACGGGCGAGAGGAGGCGGGGAGGAGGCGACGCGCCGGCGCCAACGTCCCGGGCCTCGGGTCGGGCGCTCGGCCAGACGGGGGGCGGTTGAGAGGCCCCGGGGCCGCGGGGTGCAGGGCGGCGGAGGGGCGGCCTGGAACGCGGGGTGGGAACCGGCGCCGCCCGGTGCGCGCAGGAGGACGGCCTCCGCCCAGGGCTGGCGCCTGCGGACGCGGAGCGCGGCGGGCGGGTGGGCGGGTGGTGGTGGAGCAAGATCAATAAATAGATGCAAGTTTGTTTGCGCAGAGCCTTTGCGGAGGCCCGGGGCCGCTCCCGGTGCGTGACGTTCCGGGCGTCCGGTGGGGACGGGCCGGCGGGGCGGGCGTGTGCACACGGCCCGGTCGGTGGGCTTCTAGGAGGTCTTACCGAGGACGTCCACGCCGCCTCCCCGAGCGTGACTCGTCGCCTTGGTTGGTTGGTACCCATGGCGTCGGTTGATCCCGCCGGTGGCGACCTGCCTGCTGCTTTGCCGGTGGCCCTCTCTTTGTGGAGCTGGGCTCACTGCTGTTCCCAGCTGGTCCCCTGGCTCTGACGGCGGGGTCTGCTGTTTAAGGTATTAGCTTTGCTGTGTATGTCATGCAGACTTCATAGGAGTCTGTCTGGTTTGTGGGGGGCTGTTGAGCACCCTAGCACCCTTTTGTAGGATTTAAAATACGATTGAAGAAAAGCTCACGTTCTCCGATTATTTGCTGTCATCTGTTTTCCCATGCATTCTGTAACATTTCTGCATGAGTGAATTATCATTAAATCAAAGTATGAGGCATCAAATGGGCCAGATGTACATGACGGAAATATTGTGGAATGAGAAACTCTGGAGCTGTGACTTAGGTACAAGAGTTTAGTGAGGTTACAGAAGGTTAAATTTCTGGCTTGAGAACATTTCGTTGAATATGAAACTAGACACTTTTTTTTTTAAGTGAATGACATTAAACAACAAACTAATGTCTAACTGTACTTAATCTGAAGATCTCAGATGCTTCTTCCTGAAGAGGATGTGGGGCTACTGGATTGTTACAGGGAAGTATGTGTTTCTCAGGTAGAACTGTGTCATCTGATGGCAACCAATTGAATAAATACTAAAACTGATAACGCACAACCATTGATTTAGGCCTGTATCTCTGCTATTTCAATAAGTGACAACACTTTTTTTTTTTTTTTTTTTTTACTAAGTCTTTTCTCTTAGTTTCTTGGTTCTTACCTCAGTGGTATGCATAGAGAATAAAAGAAAACATGCATGTGTAACTCTGAGCACTAAAACTGCTCTGCATCACTGAGAAAATTGCACATCTATGTGCCCAACACAGAAAGCATTCTATACATTTGAGCTATTCTGAGTTCTTAGGTGTTCAGCCATCATCTGATCCAAAAATACTGAAAATTCATATTTGCATATGCCACTTTTTCTCAAGAAATTTTATTGTTACATACACATTTTCTTGGAAAAAATCACAGTACTTATTAGCATGTAAAAAGCTGTGAGGTGGTTCTATAACAAAGAAAACTGGCTTTGTTTAACTCAGTTCTTTTGATGTGAGAGACAAACTCGTTTTCTCCTACTTTCATAATACATACACCTCTGTGACCCCAGAATGTGTGGAGATTTTTCTCTACCAGAAAGCAAGTAATTTTTGCAGCAGATTCTCTAGGACATACCATCTGGGTGTCCTCTAATTCATTTCATTTCTAACCCTATCTGGAGATAGCATCCCACAAGTTGAGGGTTCAGTCCCATGAGACTGCCCCCCCCCCTTCGAGTGTCAATCACAAGCTCCAGGATGTTATACCTGTGTTTCTAATTGATCTGCTATGAATTGGGGCAGCCACAATCCCTTTTGGAGGTTCAATTAATTTGCTAGAGTGGCTCACAGAACTCAGGGAAACACTTTACTTATGTTTACCAGTTCATTATAAAGTTTATTAGGAAGTATACAGATGAATAGTCAGATGGAATAGAGGTACAGAGCAAGGTATGCAGAAGGAACCAGGAGCTTCCATAGCCCTTCAGGCACGCCACCCTCCAAGAACCTTCATGTGTCCAGCCATCTGGAAACTCTGGAATCCTGTCCTGTTAGGTTTTTACATAAACTTTATTAGGCAAAATAGACTACTGTTATTGGGCTGTTGGTGATTGACTCAACTTTCACAACCTTTAGTCCTTCTGCCCTCCCCAAAGTGGGAGCTGCAATATCCCAACCTTTTAATCATGCCTTGCTCTTTCTTGTAGCTAGCTGCCTTTCTGAAGCTAGTCATCTCATTAGCATACAAAAACAAACAAACAAACAAAAACCACACTTAGCACTCTCTGAGATTCTGAGGGTATTAGGAACTATATGTTAGGAAATAGGATGAAGACCCAAGGCAAGTGTATCTTAAGTTTTGTGTGTGTGTGTAAAATCACAGTATCAAACCAGGACTTAAGAAACTTAACCCTTTTCATGGAATACCAGTGGGACGCTATATAGGTTGCAAATTTTTTTTGCATGTATGATCTGATTGGACCACCTCAATTCCATGCAAAATCATAGAAATTCCTATTTTACAGATGAGGAAATAGAATCATTACTTAAGCTTCTGACTTCAAGTTAAAATCATAAAGCATTTTAGGATTTTCAAGGAACTTCTTTCTATTTTTTCTGTTCCTGTACTGTCTGAGCTTTCATTTTATAAAATCCTTAATTCACTCATTTCTTCCACATGTTTTCTTTGGGAAACTACTTGATTTTATCATGTGTTTAACTGTTCCTTACATGTTCAGGTGTAAAGTCACTGGAGTAGAGCAGGTGACAGGGGAGTAGCTGAAGTCACCAAAATGCGGGGGGGGGGGGGGGGGGGGGGGGGGGGGGGGGGGG